GTGGCACATGTCTATAATCCCACCTACTCGGGAGGCTGAGGCAGGAGGATGGCTTGAGCTCAGGAATTCTAGACCAGCCTGAGCAAGAGCAAGACCCTGCCTCTACTAAAAATAGAAAGAAATTGGCTGGATAACTAAAAATATATAGAAAAAATTAGCCAGGCATGGTGGCGCATGCCTGTAGTCCCAGCTACTCTGGAGGCTGAGGCAGAAGGATCGCTTGAGCCCAGGAGTTTGAGGTTGCTGTGAGCTAGGCTGACGCCATTGCACTCTAGCCTGGCAGCAGAGTGAAACTCTATCTCAAAAAAAAAAAAAAAAAAAGTGAGTGGTCTGTCCAGCACAAAAAGTCAAGAAAAGGAAAGAAAAAGCAAACAGATCAGAAAGAAAGAAACAAAACTGTCTATTTACAGATGATATTATGGTTTATGTAGAAAATCCCAAGGAATCTACAAAAAACAAGCAAACAAAAAAAACTTCCTAGAACAAATAAGTACATTCAGCAAAGCTGCAGGTTATAAGATTAACATGTAAAAACCAGTTATTAATACATTTCCATATACAATAAAATACAATACCATTAAAAATGAAATATGTAGGTATAAATCTAATGAAACATGTACAGGATTTGTATGGTGCAAACTACAAAACACTGATTAGTCAGAGAAGATCTACATAAGTGGAGAGGCACGTGGTGGTCGTGGGTGGAAGGTACAGCACTGTAAGACGGTAGTTCTCCCCAGGAAGACATACAGGCTTGCTGCACTGCCCACTAAAATCCTTGAAAAAATGTTTGTAGATATAGACATGCTTATATTAAACTTACATGGGAATGCAAAAAAACTAGAATAGATAAAACAATTTTGAAAATGAATGAAGTGGTAGGAATCAGTGTACCGGTTTCAAATTATGTAGTTATAGTCATTGGGCTGTGGCTTTGGCGAAGGTTTAGATACAGATCAATGAGGAGAATAGAGAACCTGCGGGTAGACCCACAGAAGTATGGCCAAATGACTTTTGACCAAGGTGTTAAAAAAGCAGTTCAGTGGAGGAAGAATAGTCTTTCCACAAATTGGACATCCATAGGCAAAAAAATGAATCTCAACCTAAATTTCACATTTTAAAAAATTAACTCAAAATGGATCTGAGGTTTAAATATAAAACATAAAGCTATAAAACTTTTAGGATAAAACCTTTTGGACCTATGACTGGGTGAGTAGTTCTTAGGCTTCACACCAACAGCACAATCCATAGAAGGAAAAATTGGTAAACTGGACATTCTCAAAATTGAAAACTGATCTGAAAAAGATCTTACTAAGAGAATGAAAAGATAAGCTACAAATAGGAAATATTTGTAAATCTCATATCTGAAATATAGAAAGATCTCAGCAGTGAACACAGACATGCGCATAAACACGGAGTCCAGCTAAAAACTGGACAAAAAACATGGAGACATTTTCCAAAGAGGACATATATGATGGCAAATAAAAAAATGAAAAGATATTTGGCATCACTAGCCCTGAGGACAAAGTAAATCAAGACCCTGATGAGATGTCCCTACCCTCCTGTTAGAACAACCTGAGTGAAAAATCTAGTAACACCAAGTGCTAGTGAGGATACGAAGAAGCCAGATCTCTCGTACGTTGCTGGGCTATGGATGTAGGATGTGAAATGGTGCCACCACCCTGGAAAAAGTTTGATGGTTTCTTTACAAAAATAAACATACATGTACTTACCCTATGACCCAGCAGTTAACACTCTTGAGCGTGTGTCCAGAGAAACAAAAATTTCTGTTCACCTGAAAACCTGCACCTCATGGTTCGCAGCAGGAGTTTGATAATGGCTAAGAAATGGAAACAATGCAGATGCCCATCAGTTGTCAAATGGATAAATGAAGTGTCCTTTATCCACACCATGGAATATTATTCTACCATAAGAAGGAATGAAGTACTGATACATGCTACAACATGGATGAACCTCAAAAACATGCTAAGGGAAAGAAACCAGTCACAAAAGACCACATGTATGATTCCAGTCATAAGAAACATCTAGAATAGGCAAATTCATAAAGACAAAAAGTAGATTAGTGGTTGCCAGGGGCTGGAGGGAGTGAGAGTACTGCTTAGTAGATACAGGATTTGTTTGGGGAGTGATAAAAACATTCTGAAATTAGATAGTGGTGATGGTTGTATAACCCTGTGAACATACTAGCAAACAGTGCACTTTAAAGAGGTGAATTTTTTTGTATGGGAATTATCTCAATTTTGAAAATTGGATTTATACTTTTTATATTCCTATGATACGGTAAAGAACTTGGGAATTTCATATCACATCACCCCTCATGCAGAAGAGATTGTTACTGTTTTAATGAACTATCAGCAATCCCTAGAGATACTAAAAAAACACTCGATATTTTCCATGGTAAATACAATCATTGTGGTAAAATACCCGTTTGTACAATTTGGTAAATATAATTTTAATACTTGCATATATCTTGATATATTTTCATTTAAAAAGTACATTGGTTACTATAAATAAAAATATAGCTCTAGAATCTTGTCAGTTTCCTGGGAGTGAGTTTAGGAAAGCTCCAGGCTGTCTCCATCCCTGCCTGTGCGGCGGCGGCCTCTCCTCCCCTCTTGCTGCTCTTCAGACGCAGCTGGTGTTTAGGTAACAGCGAGAGTCGAGTGGAGAGTCAGGTGGAGCCGTGACGACGGGAAGTGCTGGGAAACGTGGCTCTCCCTTCCATGACCATCCGCTAACTTGACCTTCTCCACTTGCACTCTCTGCTGACTGCCGGCCTGCCGACCGGGCGTCGGGGTGGACAGCCTGGCCCACCTTCTCTCCCGTGGGCTCCACTTTCCAAATGCAGGGGTCAGGACAACAGAACTTCCTATCAAGTATCGGCAGGAAAACTTTTATTGTTGAAGTTTAATGACCCAAATTTTTCTGCAGACTCATTTTGTGTAATCTGTAAATTAAAGTATACTCCAGGAAGTTCGTTCTGGCATAATGATATTATCAAATCCTAAGCATAATGACTTAATCTGTATGTCCTTTTTTTCTTTAATTAAACATTTATTTTAAAACTGTTAATAAAAATTTTTATTAACTTTTGAAAAGACAAGCTTGTGGTAGCCACTTGCCTCTCAGCTTGTTTGTTGTTTAAACATTTTTAAATGATGGCTTTTTAAAAATAATGTGTTTCCTCCATAACAAAATGAAACCTTATGCAAAAATGAATAGTAAGGAATGACTTGCAGTGACAAGAACAATACACTTTAACTATGCCAAACAAAGTTAGCTTCCGCACCACGTGTGGCCCCATCAGAGGCCGGGGTCCTCTACAGGAGCGTGCGAGCGGCCCAGGATGACGACTCCGCTTCCCAGAGCAGCAGCAGCCGTCCAAATCATACCTGCTTGTATAAAACAGCGGGGGAGCTGGTTTCTTATGAGCTAAGCATTTTGTTTAGCACATAGCCAACCTTTGCCTAAGAATCTGCATTAAATATATCTAAGCTTTTAGAATTAGCCAGAAGCATCCTCTAAATAAATAAAAGTCATTAAATTCGAATATAACTTTTCTAAGGCTGTGTGCCTCGAACGCCATTTCTCAAAGAAAATTCCAAGGAAATACTAGTTCCTCAGGATGTTATTGGTGACCACACCAAAAAGGGTTTTATGGTTATAAATTGAAGGAACTTGGGTTTAACGGGACCTCGCGGGTGCCTTTTACAGAGAGCTCTGGGGAGTCTGCCATCTCCAGTCCCCCGGCAGGGTGAGAGTGTGCGTGCCCAGCTGAGGATGTGCCCTGCACAGCAACCCGGCTGACCAGGTGTTCATGGATTGGGCTCCACAGAACATTTTTGGGGAAACTCCAAAAATTTAGGAAAAATGATAAGCACTCTGTCACTATCTGGAAAGGGTTGTGTATTTTCCTATTCATACAAAGAGAATTTTTTTACACATCTTTTATCATACTCTCAATTTTACTCTATTCCTTCACAGAGTAACTCTGGGGTTAAAATCTTGTCTTAAACTGGGCAGATTTTTGAGCAAAAAACAGCATAGGAGTCTACGGCCTAGCCGTGGCAATGCTGACAGCATGGTGGTACAGGTGGCCAGCACCCATGGAGCACTTCCCCTGAGCACAGCGCCCTAGCGAGAGCTGCAAGTGCCTTATTTTTTTCACGACTGCAGTGACACCAACAGCTGGGCGCTGAGCTCTGCTGACTTCACAAGGTCGGAGCACAGAGTGACTTTCCTAAGTCAGGTCTCACAGTGTTCAAAGGCAGAGCGAACGCAAGTGAGGCTCTCTACCCGGAGGCCCATGCTGCTCCCCTCCCTGTGAACAAGGGGCTCGCGTCAATGTCAGAGCTGGGTCTTGGAAGTGCAGATCTAAGGTGAAAACCATGTAAGTGGAATCATACGATGTTTGTCCTTTTCTGTCCCACTGTATTTTTTATTTTAGATAAGTTTCATATTATAAGTAGTTTATATTTGTTTGGGGAAAAATGTAGAAAATACACAATCCAAAGAGGAAAATAAATATCGTTTCCAAGCTCTACTCAGATAACCACTAAAAAGATTTTTGTATCTTTCCGTCGTTTCCTTTGGCTTATTACATATAGTTACATGCATGGATATATACATAAAAGCATTATAATTTGTTGCCTGCTTTTTACTTCGAAAGGTATCATAAGCATTTTCCATGTCCTTACGTGTTTTCTATATAACTCTGTCAGTGACTGTGTACTATTTCATTGTGTGGATGTATCGTAATTTAATGGACAGGGCCTATTCTTACGCAGTTGGTTTCCCATGTGTGTCCATCTGCTTTTGTGTCCTCTGTCCCTGTCTGAAATCACCAGCACCTCAAACTGTAGCTCCGTAGCATTAGGGCTGGTGTCTGTTAAGCCTTCCGCCAGCTCCAGCTCACTGACCAGCACTTCGTAGGTGGCGTGTAATGATGAATACCTCTGACAGCATCTTTCTTGTTTCAGGACAGCGGGGCTTTTCAGTCTGATCGACTCCCTGTGGCCCCCAGTGATGCCTCTGAAAGCACCTGGCCACGGCCCGCCCTGTGAAGAGGTAAGCCCGGCGTGGGAGAAGCTCCCCTGGTTGCGCCTGTTCCGTGCGTGCTGAGCCAGGCACCTGCACCACCTCCTGCACGGGCCTGTCCCCACGGAGGCAGCAAGGAGCCCTGCGCAGCCGGTGCTGTTGTCTGTGGAGACCGCGATACAAGCTGGGGCTGGGATTCAGGTCCGCTTGGCTCACCTGGAGCCGCAGCAGCCCTGGCCGCTTTCCCCATGCTGCACAGCATGTCTCTGGAGGTGGCCTTTTGATAACTGCTTACCTCACAGTCCTCACTTACGGTGGCAGCAATCGTGGTCTCAGCCTAGCGCTATGGCAGACGCAGAGGGTTTTCCCACCACCGTGCAGCAATCACCAAGGAGAGCAGGAGCTCATCTGGCCACAGATAGTCACACCTTGCCTGCCTCGTCGGGTGCTCATGGTGGTGGCTCACAGGTAGCAAAGTGTATTAAAGGTGCTCCCCTCTCCCTCCTGAGCCCTTGGCAGCACGTGCCAGCAACTGCTTCAGGCCACGGCTCCCAAAGCTGGAAACTAGGCGTCATCTTGCTAAGTCTGTGACCTTGCACTGTGCCAAACAGCATAGTAGTTGTCAAAAATGCCCATTTCTCGATTATTTAAGAAGTAATTTCTAAATGGTGTTTTCAGTATACTCTGAAAAATAAATATCTAAAACAAAATCTCGAATTGGTAATCAGTTCGGAAGTACAGAAGTTCTTATACTTGGTCCCAGAGGTAAACAGCATAACCATTCCTTTATAGCATTCCAGAGAGAGTACACGTCTGCAGGCAAATACTTATATATTAAAGAGTAGATTTTAGTAGTGTATTTGAGTCTTTTAACAATGCATTCACGTTCTGCCTTTGCCTTCATTTTAAACAGATAAAAACTCATCTACCTCTTCCTGCCTTCTGTTACATCCTCATGGCTCATCCAGTTCTGGGACAAATTGACATCCTTGAAGAAGACCCCGTTTCAAAGCTCTACCAGCCTCCAGTTACCCGCTGCTTAAGAGAAATTCTCCAGGTAACGTTTTTGTTTCTGACAAGTTCCTCAAGTGCTTTTGCTGTGTCTGTGTGCTCCATGTGACGTCACCAGTCTCTTTCTCTGCCTTCCCAGACTGGTGATCTCGGTACCCGTTGCAGTTTCTATGCCAGGGTGATTTATCAAAGACCACAGGTAATCTGTCTGTCTGTCTTTTTCTCTCTCTCTCTCTCATAAGGTGTTATAATGTATAAGATATTACAAGTTTATTAAAGGACAATCTCTATCAGGAATTAATGGAGTACCAAAAGAGAAAAGCATGTTTAAAATCCAGTTAAGCATGCTCCATGCTGAAGAGTGATAAATCCATCCCTTGTACGGGTGTGGACTGTCAGCCGTTGTGCACGGTACTGGGGCGTAAAACAACCCAAGCGCAACCCTGACTGCAAAGATTCTCAGCTCAGTAATGCTCATTGTTTTCTGACACATAGGCTGGTTACAGAAAGGAAAGAGAAGCTGAAACCTCGTTCCTGGGGTGGAAGCGGGAATCTGAAGATTGAGCTCAGCCATTTCTGGGAACTCCGAGAGCCTTTGAAAGCTGAAGGGGCCCCTCTGTGGTCCCTGTGAGGCCTTGGGCAGTTCTAGGGAGTGGCAGCCTAGAGGAGCTTGCTGTTCCATCACCTAGGAGTAGATGAGGGAGAAAGATGTCCTTGGCAATCTCAGTGCACAGATGACATTCTATGAGAAATGTCTACCGGACCTCATTAACTCACGGAGGAGCATCCATGTAAATCTCATCACCCAAGAGACACAGGGAACATCCTATTTGTTAAGTCCTGGTCCACTCATGGGTGGTGTGCACCAGGTACATGAGTGCCCTCGGAGTGTTGCCTCCTCAAGGGTGTGTGTGAAAGGGGTGCCTGTGCCTACTTGGGCTGTTGGTGTGTCACCTGTGACCAACCAGTTCAGAACACCAGGGAAGTGCCCAGTGAGGAGTCTCGAGGGGAGGCAGGAAGCTGGCACCTGGGCAGGTGAGCTGGGCACAGGGTTGGGGTGGCACCAGGGGTTGTCTTTAAACCAGACTATGCCTGGTTACCAAGACCTGACAAAGCAAACCCCAGACCTCGTGCGTGTCACCTACACACTTGATAGAAATCTCTACAAAGCCTGCGTGCTTCGCATACAGCCAGAGCTCAGCTGCCTGGCTTGGGAGCTTTTTTCTCCTGCTTAAGTTATCCAGAGTTATTTTCTGTTGTGCCTTTATTTTGAACAAGTTCTTTGCATTTTTTGTCATTCTTAAGCATTGGAAGAGCTATAGAATGACTAAAAGAATATGCTTCTTAACTTCCAGTCAAGTTCTTGATGACGAGCATATATACGAGCATGTTGTGTAAACCTATCTTTCATCTGTATCAGGAGTAGGCCGACTGTTCAATATTCTTCTTATGACTTTTTTCAACTTAAAAATGTAAAATCCTTACATAAATTTAAAAAGCATACTTAGCTTGCAGGCCACACATAAGCAGGTGGGGAGCTGGTTTGGCCCACAGGCCATATTTTGCTATCTCGGGTCTACCAAGATCCCTGACATTCTTCAAATGCTGAGCAGGGCTGCAGGGTCTGGGAGCTGTGAAACGGGAAGAAACACAACTGGACGCGCGTCTCTGGGCGTCTGGCAGACTGCACTGAAGGCACAGCGGGATGCGTGGCAGGGAGGGGAAAAGGGAAGGGCTATCGTCTGACAGCTATCGAGTGGGGTGCAGGCTCATCCCCTAGGGATGCCAGAGGTTCTGCATGAGAACACGGTGCTGATCTTTGTACGAGAATATTTTAAGACTTTATCTCAAGTAAACTTCACACTTCAGATGTAAGGAATGTGCTGCAGGTGACACGCCAGTGGCTGTCTGCTGCCTTTCATTTCCTTCTCTGCAGAAGGTACGTGCTCTCTGCAGCTGAACTTGTGTGCATTCGCTCACAGAGATCCTGAAGTTTAAATAAAAAGTACATTGCCCATAGAAACAGAAACAGAGAAATTGTGAATATAAGTGAACTTCATTTGGCTCTTTATTTTTTATTATCGATGTTTTGCCATCTTTAATTTCCATGTGAGATTTTTCAGTTCTTCATACCATTATCATGTAAATACCATTTTGTCTCAGCAGCAGTAGTATACCTGTTCAGGAACATCGCTAATCTAGTGCCCATGATGCCTCTTGATTCTGCAGTCCCTCTGTTACCTGTAGGGGTGGCAAGGACGCAGCACACCTTCACCACATGCTGGCTGAGCTTGTACGATTACTGAACCTCCTTGCCTCAGTTTCCTCATCTGTCAAATGGGTGTGACATTCTCTTACCATAGTGGGTTATTCTAGGATACATTTAATAGTTTTGAAATGCCCTCCTTTTTCCATTGTTTTCCATTTATCTGTTTACCTTTTCATCACTTGACAGCTAATTAGTGCCTCTCCTGAGGAATTAGAGAATGATTAACATAAGTCGCCCAGTGGTGTGCCTTGTGAGCTGTCCCAGTGTCTGGCTCAACAGGCAGGGGACAGGGCCCTCAGCAAGGACAAGGGTGGAACACAGGATGTGTCTCTGATTTTCCAAGTCTAAAGCGAACTGAAGGCCACCTTTATGCTCCTCTGCCCGTCTCGAGAAGGCCCAGTTGCAGGGCCACACTGCAGGCAGAGCGCTGTCCTCAGAGCACAGATTCCTGCCCGCAGCCCTCCGGCTGAGAAAGCAGGTGTCAAATCCTTGCACCAAAACCCGGGAGGAGGGGAGCGCCGGCCAGAGAGTGACACTGTGAGCGGTCTGCCTGGTGGCTGGAGGGGCCCTGCCCCGGAAGCGGGGCAGCTGGGGAGCGCACGCGGATCCCATCCTGTCCAAGAAGCAGCCTGCCCGTGACCAAGGCTTTCAGCAGGTATCTGCCTAGGAATTGGTGGTTCTGTAGTCAGGAGACGAAGACCCAGAACCCAATGGAGCAGGTTCTTTGATCCACTGAAGTTCTACCTATCTCCTGCTTTTGTGGAAAGGAGAACCGCCAAAAACCAACTTCCTCAGGGAGGAATTGAAATAAGCTAGGTCCTGGGGCCAGCCTGTGCTTCAGCCAGTCGTCTGCACCCTCTGCAGTAAGGGTTGACTGTAGAATGGTACCTTGTGTCACTGCCGGAACCTGCGTCCTCAAAACAGATCTAGTGACTAAGTCATGAAAGTGAAAAAGATAGATATTTTTTATATTTAACTTTTATTTTGTAATAATTATAGATTCAGAGTAGCTTGTGTAGAAACATGCAGGGAGCTCTGGGGCACCCTCCTCCATGCCAGCATCCCACACCCACAGCGACCGCGGCACAAAATCAAACCACGAAGCGGACGCTGACACAGTCCACGGGGCCCACTCAGATCTCACCAGTCATCCATGTATTCTGTGTGTGTGTGCACGTGCTTTTGTGCAATTTTGTCACACGTGTGGCCTTGTGCGACCACCACTGCAATCAGTATGTGCTGCTGTGCCGACACCACAGAGTCCCTTTGGTTCCCCTTCATAGCCACACCCGTCCTTTCCCTCTCCCCAACCCTGGCAACAACAATGTGTTCTCTGTCGTTATAATGATTTTATGATTGTTACGTGAATAGAACCGTGCGGTATGTATCTGTGTTAGTTTCTTAGGATTGCCATATAAAGTCCCAAAAGCTAGATGGCTTCACACAACAGAAATGTATTCTGTCACACTTCTGTTTCCTTGTTTTTTATTTTTGAGTTTTTGTTGTTGTTATTGAGACAGAGTCTCACTGTGCCACCCTGGGTAGAGAGCAGCGGCGTCTTTGTAGCTCACTGCAACCTCTAACTCCTGGACTCAAGCGATCCTTCTGCTTCAGCCTCTGGGGTAGCTGGAACTACAGGCATGCGCCACCACACCCAGCTGTTTTTTTTTTCTTTTTGGTAGAGACGGGGTCCTTCTCTTGCTCAGGCTGGTCTCGAAATCCTGAGCTCAAGCGATCCTCCCGCCTCAGCCTGCCAGAGTGCTAGGATTACAGGCGTGAGCCACTGCGCCCGGGCCGGCCTCTGTCACGCTTCTGGAGGCCGGAAGTCTGAAATCGAGGTGTGGGCAGGGCCGTGCTCCTCTAACGGTTCTAGGGAGGACCCTTCTTGCCCCTTCCAGCTTCTGGCGTTCCCCGGCGATCCCTGGCATTCCCTGGCGTTCCCTGGCACAGCACTCCAGCCACACGGCCATCTTCTCACTGTGTCTTCACACTGTCTTCCCTCTGCATGTCTGTGTCCAGACTTCCCCATTTTATAAGGACACCAGTCCATATTGGATTAGGGCCCACCCTGATGTCCTCATCGTAACTTGGTTATCTCCGCAAAGACCCTGTTTCCTAATAAGACCACATTCTGAGGTACTTGGTTGAAGTCCCAGATGCCAACAGATCTCTTTTGAGGGACACAGTTCAACCCGTAACAGATCCTTTTGAGACTGGCTTTTTCCAATTAACATAATTCTCTGGAGATTCATTCAGAGGACTAATGATGTTAAATATGTTTTCATGTGTTTATTTGCCATCCATATATCCTTTTTGGTGAAATGTCTGTTCACGTCTTTTGCCCACTGTCTAATTGGATTTCTTGTTAGTTTACTGTTGAATTTTTAAAGCTTTTTATATTGCTAAATACAAAGCCTTTGTCAGGTTTGGGATTTGCAAATATTTTCTCAGGGTCCGTAAATTGTATTTTCATCCTTTTAACAGGGTTTTTTTTTTTTTTTTTATAATGCAGAAGTTTTTAATTTTGATGCAGTCAAATTTACCAGATTTTCCTCTTACGGAGCATGGTTTTGTTGTCTAGTCTAAGACAAGTCAAATCTCTTTGCCTCATCCTGGGTCCCAAAGTTTCCCTCTTATGTTCTTTTCTAGAAGATTTATAAATTTACATTTTACCGTTGAGTCCATCATGTATTTTGAGTTGGATTTTGTACAAGGTGTGTGGTTTAGGTCAAGATCAGTTTTCTGCCTTGGATGTCCATTTGCTCCAGCACCATTTGCTGACAGACCGTCCTTCGTCCATTGAACTGCTTCTGTACCTTTGTCAAAAGTTAGGCCGGGTGTGGTGGCTCACGTCTGTAATCCTAACACTCTGGGAAGCCGAGGCGGATGGATCATTTGAGCTCAGGAGTTCGAGACCAACCTGAGCAAGAGTGAGACCCTGTCTCTACTAAAAAAATAACATAGAAAGAAATTAGCTGGACAACTAAAAATAGCCAGGCATGGTGGCGCATGCCTGTAGTCCCAGCTACTCAGGAGGCTGAGGCAGGAAGATCGCTTGAGCCCAGGAATTTGAGGTTGCTGTGAGCTAGGCTGACACCACGGCACTCTAGCCTGAGCAACAGAGCTAGACCCTGTCTCGGAAAAAAAAAGGAAAAAAAGTTAATTGGGCATATTTGTGTGGAAGAGATCTGTTAAGTTTCTACATCATGCCTGCTTAAATACGTTTCCTGATTACATAGGGCTATAAGAACTTTTTTAATAGACTTTATTTTTTAGAGCAGTTTTAGGTTCACAGCAAAACTGAAATTAAGGTATAGACATTTTCCATGTACCTTCTGCCCACACAGATGCACAGCTTCACCTATTATCGCATCCTCCACCAGAGTGGTACATTTGTCACAATTGATGAACCCACACTGACACTTTATTAGCACCCAGAGTCCATAGTTTACATTAGGGTTCACTCTTGGTGCTGTACATTCTGTGGGTTCGGACAGATAATGACATGTGTCCATCATTTTAGTATCATTCAGAACAGTTTCACTGCCCTGAAAGGCCTCTGTACTTCACTTATTTATTCATTTCTCCCTTTCCTAAGCCCCTAGAAACCACTAATCTTTTTACTGTGTCCATAGTTTTGCCTTTTCTGAATGTCATATAATTGGAATCACACAGTAGGGTGACCTTTTCAGACTGGCTCTTCCACTCAATAATACACTGTTAAGTTTCCATGTCTTTTCATGGCTTGATGGCTCATTTCCTTTTGAGCACTGCCTAACATTCCACTGTCTGGGTGTACCACAATTTATCCCTTCACCTACTGAAGGACATCTTGGTTGCTTCAAAGTTTTTACAATTATGAATAAGAAGAGACCTATTTTTAATAAAATTTTAGCAATGAATTGTTGGTACTGCTTCAAATTAATTGGTTATTGGTATATTTTTACAGATGATTTTGTTGTTACTGACTTTATTCATAACCCCAATAGTAGAGATAACTTGATAGTTAATCTTTCTCTGAAGCAAGTTAGAGAAAAAAAATTTGATAGTTAATTTCAAAGGAAATTGAACATTTTGGTTCATCAATAGATTGAAAGAGAGACTACAGGCCAACTCCATAGTATTTAAAAAGAGCATCTAAAATCTTTGAACATTATCTGAAGAACCCTTAACCTCTTGTAGATATCTTTGCCTTTCCTAAGGTGTTCACCAATTTTTAAAATTTTTGTTTTGTCAATTATTCCAAAAACATTCTTTATAACTCCAGGGTTCAGTACAGGATCATTCAGTGCATTTAGTTGTCATATCTCTTTCGTCTCCTTCAAATGGAGTACTTCTTCATCTTTGCTTATCTTTTATGGCCTTGACTTTTTTAAAGAATACTGGCCAGTTATTAATACTTAGGCAAATGTTCATCATTTAGGTTTGTCTGATGTTTTCTCATGAATAGATTCAGATTATGCATTTTTGACAGGAATACCACCTAAATAATTCTGTGTTCGTATCAGGAGACACAGAGTTAACTTGACCCAGAACTGTGATATTTTATCAATTGATAAAGATGGTATTTTCCAAATTTCTTCACGTGAAAGTTAACTAGTATTTCATTCTGATTAATTAATAAATATTTTATGGGGAGATACTTTGACCATGTAAATATCTTCTTTGTTATCAAACTTTTATTTTAACATTCATTATGATTCTTACCTGAGTTAATTATACTCGGATGGTGGCCAAATGGTAAATTTTTAATTTCAGCATTTCTTCTACATGTATTAGCTGGTATTCTGCTATAATTAGGAGCTTTTCATTCCCTTGATTTATTTATGTAGTCACTTATTTATTTATATCAGTATGGAACAATGGATTCATTTTTTATTCAACAGATTATAATCTGTTACTATTGTTCATTTTGATGCTCAAATATTCCCATATTTAAGCTGGCTCCTGTGTCCTTAGGACATGTTCCCATCATTCTTTGAGTTCTTCCTTAATTTCTGACATAGTAAGATGTTTCAGACTCAACTTTTGTTTTCTTTGTCCTGGAATCAGCCATCTCTTCAAGGAGCCCTGGTTGATTTTAATGGAAAATGGTATTTTTAAAAAAAATTTTTTAAAGACAGGGTCTTACTGTGTTGTCCAGGCTGTTGTGCAGTGACTATTCACAGGTAAAGTCATAGCACACTACAGTCTCGTCTCCTAGGCTCAAGTAGTCGTCCCTTCTCAGCCTTCCAAATAGACGGGACTACAGACATGCACACCACACCAAGCTGGGAATGGTACTTAGAACCCAAGACCCGGGTTCTAGGTGGGCTCACTGCAACTAGGCTGTGATTGCTTCTAGGCCCTCTCAGTGGACAGAGCAAGGAAATGTATGTGTGTATATTCCTGCACACACACACACACGTAAATCCATGTCTAATTCTGTATTTCTGTCTATCTGAAATCATGATTTTACACCAATACTCCCAATGCTAAACCATCACCACAGAATTTACTGAAGGCTTCCCCAATTGCATATGCATATCTCTCGTCTCCAGCAGTGAGCAACCAAGCTCCATGAGCCTCAGTGTTACTCAGACTTCTCGTGTGTAATCACATACGAGATGGCCACATAGGCCATCCCCCTACACACCCCACAGCTCCTGACAGCGACGTCCCCTTCTCTGCCCAGTCCTGTTGAGCAGCCACACAGAGTCCTCAACCTGACCGCATCGTCACGCCAGCAGCACCAACTGAGTCTCAAGCTGGCCGCATCCTAGGCACCAGCCCGCTGGCCATCCGTGGCCCCATTTGCATCTGTTGAATCCCAAGCCCTGACCAAGGGGAAGGGGCAGAATACCAGGTTAGCAGAACTGGAAAAGGCATTACAACTGTTACAAGAGAAAAATGAATACGTGTATATGCATATATATATATAAAATAAAAGGAAAGAAGAAAGAAAAAAGACAAAGAGAACCTGTTGCAGGCATAACAATATGTGACACCTGTTGTCTTCAGAGGCCTTGTGCGAAGCCCGAGGGCCAGTGAGGTCTATCCCTAACGCTCGGGAAACTAACAGCCCCCAGAGAGACTAACGTGCGCTAGATAGAAAACAGCATGGTCATTAACACTGTAGGACTCAACGCAGGATTAAGAGGGGAAAAATGATGATTTCTGCCTAAGTAGGTCAGAGGAATAACAGAGCCCTGCCACACTGCCAGGGAAGTGCGGGTCGTGCCCAGCAAAGGGGCCTTTAACCAGGTACAAGGTCGAGGCACCCGGGGCACAGCCTTGTGAATGGGGGCTAGTGACCAACATGTGCAAAGTCTACTGTAGGTTTTAAAGTAAGTTTGAGATAATACCTTAAATTGTTAGCATTAATAATAATCTTCTAAGATTGTTGCTTTAAAAAATTTTAGATATAAAAATAGTTAATTGTCTTTGCTGTGTCTTCAAATTTTAGCTGAGGAGTCTGCTTCCTCTGGAGCAAAGGGAGATTTGGCTGCTGGTGACCGATACCACCCTGCAAGCGAGGGATGAGAGTGACCCCGTGCTCCCCAAAACCCTGCCGGTCTGTGTGTCCCCCTCCTGTGTGCTGGGCCCAGAAGTCCTGGAAGCATTCACCGTGGCTGCTCCTCATGACATCCTCTTCAGGGACGCTGTCCGAGACCAGGGTGCGCTTGCTGCTGCCCGACAGGTGTGGTCTAGGGGCGAGTGACTGGTGCCCGCAAATGGCTCGCGTGGCCTCTGGATGCCTCCATGTTGCCCAGGCACCGTCAGCACTTTCGCTGAGCCCGCCGTGGCCACCCGGGCAGAGCCAGCAGAAAGGGCCCCGTCGCTCCAGCGTGGCCTGCTGATGGCGCCCTGTGCTGCTGCAGAAGCCGCCTGAAGTTGTGGCCTAGAATATCCTTTTTAAGACAAACCAAAAGCTAGAACATTATCAACGTATACACTTAGGTCAGTCAGCCCTTTTGTCCAGGGATCAAACTAGAATCGAATCCTGCCTAAACTATATATTTTTTAATTTTATTTAAATATAATTCACACACCACAAAATTCACCGTTTCTGGATTGAATATGAGTCTAGTGCTGCTCACTGGCACGGTGCTGTGCCGCCGGCCCCACACCTGCACCCTCACCCACACGGCTCTCAGAGGCTGGCAGATGAGCCTGTCTTTACCGGCTGCAGAATTCGCTTTGTTTTCAATGCTTCGATAATCTGAGGTGTCTCTGTTGGCAGGTCGAGTTGTTTGTGTTGAGCGGACTGTCCTCCTGCTTCAAAAGCCCCTTTTGTGTGTGGCCTCTGGTGTTTGCCCCTGCGAGCTGACTGGCCCGGTGACGCTTGACCAGCTGGACTCCGTCACACCCGTCAACTCCATTTGCAGTGTTCGAGGTGGGCATCCATGCCGTTGGAAATGGCATTTATGTTTTCGTAAATACCACACTTATTTTATGTTCATTTACTCATTTATTTAGCAAGTATTTGTTGAGTGCCTGCTACGTTCCAGACACTAAACAAAACAAGAAGCAGTTCTTACCTGTGGAACTCAGAGTGTGTATAGACAAAACGTGACTCAGATGAGGCCTGCACACCCTCACCTCGTCTGGGAGGGGAGGAAGGCTCACCAAAGCCAGGAGGCGCCAGCTGAGCTAACGGGTAGGCGGGACAACTTAGGTCAGGGCTGGGGGCAGGAGGAATGTCTCGAGGAAAGACAGCGGGACTTAAGAAGGCCGCCGTGGGAGAGTGTGGTGAGCAGGGCGCTGGGCGAGGCGGACAGGCTGCTGGCTGCAGGGAGGCCCCCGAGTGGCAAGCAGCCGGGTCAGGAGCAGAGTGGAGGGGCTGGTGGCAGTGGTGGCAGCGGTAGAGAAGTAGACCCAGGAGTGGAATTGGGGGAAAACCTGCAGTCGGTGATGAATTGGGCACAGAGGGAGCAGGGCATCCCTGGAGACGGAGGACGCGCACGGAGACCTTCACATTCCCGGCTCGGACACGGAGGCCGCGGCAGTGCTGTTCCCTGAAGTAGGGTGTGGTGCGTGAGGCCAGCTGTGACCGGCCCATCTCAGTTCCGTCTGGACAGTTTGGGTGTTTTGGATACATTTGAGATGTTTCAGCAGCTAGTTGAATATGTGAGTCTGGAGCTGAAAATAGCATTAATACTTTCTTTAACTTTATAAAACGTGTATTAATGAAAGTAATACAAGTCCATTGGAACTAGGGAAAGATGAGTGAAGAGAAAGATAACAGCCTCCCGCCCGCACCCGCCCTGCAGTGTCTTTCCGCTACGCCGGGAGCACACGGGAGTACATGGCTACCTACCTTGAGGGAGCCGGCGTGTTTGCAGAGCAGGTGGTTTGCTGCATGTCATTCTGTCACTTGCTTCTCTCACTTAATGCTCCAGCAGGGATGAGAGAGCTCTAACCCCCAGAGTTTAATAGTCGCATAATATTCCCTCAAATGAACGAACTGTCCCTCCACTGACGGGCATGCAGGATGTTCCTGTGTTTTGCAATTATAAGCAAGTCTGTACTAAGCATTCCTGGACATCAATCCCTACTGATATCTATAAAGGAGGATTTCAGAGGTTTAGGGTTCATGTACTTTTTAAACAACTTTATTGAGATATAACTCTGTATCTCACATACCCTATAATTCACTCATTTAAAGTGTTTGTAATATATTCACAGAATTGTGCAACCATCGCTACAATCTAATTTGGGAACAAAAAGAAACCCCGTGCCAATTATCAGTTATACCCTGTTACCCCCCACCTCCCATGCCCTAGTCTTAGGAAACCACCAGTCTACTTTCTGTTTCTATGAATTGCCTATTCTGCATATTTCATATAAATGGAATCATATAATATGTGGTCTTTCGTGATTGGTGTCTTTCATTTAGCAAAATGTTTTTAAGGTTTATCTACAATGTAGCATGTGTCAGAATTTTATTGCTTTTATGGCAGAATAATATTCATTGCATAGATATGCCACTTTTTGCTTATCTTTTCATTGGTTGATGGACATCTGGGTTGTTTCTACCTTTTGGCTGTTGTGAGTAGAGCTGCTGTGAGTATTCATGGACAAGTCTTTGTTTGAGCACCTGTGTTTAGGCTTTGGGTGTGAATCCAGGAATGGAATTGCTGGGGCATATGGTAGTCCTGCATTTGACCTTTTTGAAGAATGCCAAAGTGGTTTCCAAAGTAGCTGTCCTATGTATGGCTTTGTGTATGTTTATTATTTTTTATTTATTTTTATTTTTTTCCAGTGGACACCTGTCTAGGAATGTGTGTGTTTAATAGTAAATGATGTATTGCTAAATTACTTTCCATGAAGTTTATAAAAATTCAGACTTCCAAAAGTAACATCTAACATGGCCCGTTTTTCCCACCTTTACCCACCACGACTTTCTAACTCTTTTTATAATTTTCGATGAACAAAAAAAACTTATTCCATTGTTGCTTTAAATCACATCCTGCTTGTGAGATTGAACACATGTTCACTGTGTTGAGGCCATTTCAGCTTTCTCTTCTGTGCATCTCTTTGTGGGGCCAGCGCTGACACGTAACTGCAGTTGTGAATCGATGGCTCCTATGGGGCCTCCATTTGCTCACCTGTGAAATAGGGCTGATAGAATCGGTCTCAAGCATTGTTCAGGATTAAATGAGATCATGCACAGGAAGCTTTGGGGGCTTAAAGCCTCAGAGTCTAGTGGAGAAAATAGGCGTCTCCATACTTCTGCTACCAGGAACCAGGAAGGAAAGGATGGCTGTCTGAGGGCCGGGGCCAGCCATTGCCAAGGGTGGGTGGCCCTAGGGCTGGCAGGATTTGTCGAGCAAAGTTGGCGAGGGCCCTCCAGGCAGGTGGAAGGGCAGGTGGAAAACCCACGGAGGTGCCAGGAGCTGTTGTAATACCTCCAAGTGCTGGGGGAAGAAGAGGGACAAAGCACGAAGTGGGGAGGCTGACTTGGGCCAGTGTGGGACGGTCTGGTCCTGTGTTGTTCTGCTCTCCTTGGCCATTCTGAGGAGAGTATATGATCAGAGTTTTAAATGAAGGAATTCTGGTAGCACCATAGATAGACTATGGTGCAAAGCAGGGACAGATTATTGGCAGGAAGAGGTAAGAAAGGTGGAGGGTCTGCAGAGATGGAGCAGACTGTGGGGACGTCGGTGAGCCAGCATGGAGCTGCTCCTCAGTGGACAGCAGCGCTGCATCCCTGGGCACATAGATGTTGGGGACAGAGCGCCCAGTGCAGACAAGCACACTGCAGGCACCCCGAGTGGACAGGCTATGGGGATAGAGCGTGCCGTCAGTGGACGGGATATAGGGACAGAGCCACAGTGCAGACTGGCATAACACACACACACACACACACACACACACACACACACACACAGACACACATTCCTTTAGGGCATGCACCGTGCATGTGCCTTTGGCAATCACCGGCAGCCAACTTCCAGAGCTTGCAGGTCTCCAGATACTCTGTAAGGACTTCCACCTTTATTCTCTTCATTGGTTGCTACTTGTTCTCCTCCCACCCTCCCTGCTCCACTTCTCCCAGAACCCAGGATTGGTCAAGGGCTCAGAGACAGAAGAAGGATGACAAAGCAGCCCCCCAGTGAAGTTCTCTGCCTAATGTCTGAAAGTCACTGCCATGCCCCACATGGCTTAGGCTGTGCGGTACCCTGTTATTCTGTGACCATAAGAATTGCCAGTGCCTGGAGCACTGTTTTATGAGAAAATATGGACCTGAAGAGCTGGCTCCCAAAGGAGGGCTTCCCTAACCCATTCCTAACTACAGCCAGTGAGTGCTCCAGAGATGCAAAAGAGGCAGCTCTCCACTCTCTGCAGGGCTTAGCTCTTGGTATGCTGAAGGAACTTTGTTCTGAATGACCAAATACAGCCTCCTGTCACAGGCCAGGGGAACCTGCCTCTGAGGCGTTGTGCCAGGGCAGCAGCTGCTGGGAGCACCTGATGAGGCTCAGCCACCCTCAAGCACCACCTTCCTCTAACTGGACCTTCATGCAGGGTGAGAACTAAGTACTTTTCAAGTAAACCACAGGTAGTTCGATGCGTCATGAAGCTCTGTTCGTGGTAGCACGAGGCAAACTTAGATGTCCCCGGGATCAGGAGCTCAGACCCTGAAGCACGCATTGGACGGAGAGCCACACGGGCTGCCGCACGCTGCACTCTGCTCTGGGGGAGTGCGCGGCCTGCCCATCTGGTGGGCTTTGCTGGATGCAGCACTTCCCTAACGTGACAGAGGCCTTGGGGCAGGTACTCTTGGCACCTGCCTTAATCGAGAACATCTGCACAGGTCGAAGCCGGAGTCTCAGGAGCTGGGGCTCCCTGGCGTCCAGTCCACCCAGGCCACACTGAGATGCCACAGCTTGTGCCCTGGGCCTGTGCTTTCCTCCCACGGTTTGAGTAGACGCTGATGGCGCAGGCTGCACTGTTGGAATCCCACGCTCGCCTCCCTCGTGCGGTAGAAAAGGCCCGTCAGTTACGGAGATGCACACACACTTGTCCAGTGCTGCTTTGACGCTCTTCCCAATCTAAACCAACAAATTCAATGAATAAAGCAGTTTTTTCTATGACTGGAATTTCTCAGGTATTATTACCAGAGGTAGAGAACAATATTTCTAAACAGTAGAGCAAACAGGCTCTGGTCGATTCATGTATTTCCTTTGTATTAAGATGAAAAGTTGTTTTTTTTTTTTCCGTGCCCTCATCTTATAAATTGGTAAGATCTACATTTCTTTTTTTTTCTTTTAGT